AAATAGTTGTTAGTTTTACCGACTTTTTAAATTGTTTTGTCTTTTGTGGGTCTCTATTTCACTTATTTCTGCTTTGATCTTTATGTTTTCTTTCCTTCTACTAACTTTTTTCTTCATTTTTCTTTTTCAAATTCATCTAGGTGTAGGGTTAAGTTTGTTGGTTTTTTCTTTTTCTTTTTCTTTTTTTTTTGAGTTTTATTTTTGTTTCCTAAGTTAGGCTTCAGTTTAGTTGCTCAGTCTTGTCTGACTCTTTGCAACCCCATGGACTGCAGCACTCTAGGCGTCCTTGTCCATCACCAACTCCAGGAGCTTACTCAAACTCATGTCCATGGAGTCAGTGATGCCGTCCANGATCAGTCCTGGGTGTTCATTGGAAGGACTGATTCTGAAGCTGAAACTCCAATACTTTGGCCACCTCATGCGAAGAGTTGACTCATTGGAAAAGACCCTGATGCTGGGAGGGATTGCGGACAGGAGAAGGGGACGCCAGAGGATGAGATGGCTGGATGGTATCACCGACTCGATGGACATGAGTTTTAGTAAACTCCGGGAGTTTTTGATGGACAGGAAGGTCTGGAGTGCTGTGATTCATGGGGTCTCAAAGAGTCGGACACGACTAAGCGACTGAACTGAACTGAACTGATTTGTGTTCTTACAGTTTTTTTCCTTGTAGTTGATTCTAATCTCATACTGTTATTGTCAGAAGATACTCTTGCTGTGATTTCATATTTTTAAAATTTACTCAGACATATTTTGTGTCCTAATATGTGATCCATCCAGGAGAATGTTCTTTGTACACTTGAACGTGTAATTTTCTGCTTTTGGGTATAGTGTTTTGTGTACATCTATTAAGTTTGTATGGTCTAGTGTATCATTTAAGGCCAATGTTTTCTTATTGGCTTTCTGTCTGGATGATCTCTCCATTGATGTAAGTAGAGTGTTAAAATCACCTGCTATTATTGTTTTACTATCAGTTTCTCTAGTTATGTTGTTAATATTTGCTTTGTGTATTTAGGTGTTTATGTTGGATACATACGTATTTCCAGTAGTTATATCTTATTGACCTCAAAATCCATCTTTGTCTCTTTACAGTCTTTGTTTTAAATTATATTTTGTCTAATATAAGTATTGCTACTCCAGCTTTCTTTTCACTTTCATTTTTTTCATGGAATGACTTTCCCATCCCCTCACTTTGTCTTTGTGTATCTTTAGATTTGAAGTGAGTGTCCTATAGGCAGCACAGTTAGTGTCTTTTAGACAGCATAGTGAGTGTCTTGTAAGTAGCATATGTGTAGATTTTGCCTTTTTATCCATTCAGTCACTCTGTATCTTCTGATTTGAGCATTTAGTCCATGTATAATTAAAGTAATTATTGATGGATCTATTTAGTTCACTTCAGTCGCTCAGTTGTGACCCCATGGACTGCAACATGCAAGGTCTCCATGTTCATCACCAACTCCTGGAGTTTACTAACTCATGTCCGTTGAGTCCGTGATGCCATCCAACCATCTCATCCTCTGTCATCCCCTTCTCCTCCTGCTTTCAATCTTTCCCAGCATCAGGGTCTTTTCAAATGAGCCAGTTCTTTGCATCAGGTGGCCAAAGTATTGGGGTTTCAGCTTCAACATCAGTCCTTCCAATGACTATTCAGGACTGATTTCCTTTAGGATGGACCGGTTGGATCTCCTTGCAGTCCGAGGGACTCTCAAGAGTCTTCTCCAACACCACAGTTCAAAATCATCAATTCTTCTATGCTCATCTTTCTTTATAGTCCAACTCTCACATCCATACATGACTACTAGAAAAACCATAGCCTTGACTAGATGGACCTTTGTTGGCAAAGTAATGTCTCTGCTTTTTAATATGCTGTCTAGGTTGGTCATAACTTTCCTTCCAAGGAGCAAGCGTCTTTTAATTTCATGGCTGCAGTCACCATCTGCAGTGATTTTGGAGCCCAAGAAAATAAAGTTTGTCATTGTTTCCACTGATTCACTATCTATTTCCCATGGAGTAATGGGACCAGATGCCATGATCTTAGTTTTCTGAATGTTGAACTTTAAGCCAACTTTTTCACTCTCCTCTTCCACTTTCATCAAGAGGATCTTTAGTTCTTAATCATCCTACTTTAGTTCTTAATCATCCTACTATCTTTGTACATGGTTAGTTTACTACCTTTACTGTTTATTTGTCTTTACCAGTGAGTCTTTTCCTTTTAAAATTTTGGCTTTTTAAATTTTACTTGTAGAAGTTCCTTTAACATTCCTTGTAAAGCTGCTTTGGTGGTGCTGAACTCTGAGCTTTTGCATGCCTCTAAAACTCTTTATGTCCAGAAAATCTGAATGAGAATTTTGCCAGGTAGAATATTCTTGGTTGTAAGTTTTCCCTTTCATCACTTTAAGTGTATAATGCCACTCCCTTCTGGCCTGCAGTTTCTGCTAAAAGGCCAGCTGATGACCTTATGAGAGTTCCCTTGTATGTAACTTCTTGTTTTTTCTTTTTCTTGCTTTTAATGTTCTTTCTTTATCTTTAATTTTTGCCATTTTAATTACAGTGTGTCTTGTTGTGGTCCTCTTTGGGTCAGTCCTCTCTGGGACTCTCTGTGCTTTCTGAACCTGAATACCTATTTCCTTTCCCAGGCTCGGGGATTTTTTGTTCTGTTATTTTGTTATGTTCTCTGCCTCTTTCTCTCTCTTCTTCTTCCGGGACCCCTGTACTCTATAATGTGAATATTAATGTGTTTGATGCTATCTCAAATGCCTCTCAAACTATCCTCACTCCTTTTTTCTCTCCTGCTTCACTGATTTCCGCTACTCTGTCTTCCAGCTCACTGATCTGTTCCTCTGTACCATCCAATCTACCATTGATTCCTTTTGGTGGTTTTTTTTTTTTTTTGTCCGTTATTATATTCTTCATCTCTGTTTTGTTCTTCTTTATATTTTCCAGCTCTGCTAAAAATTCTGACTTCTCTGTTTGTCCAATGTTTTCTGGACTTCTTCGACCATCTTCACCATCAAACATTACCTGAACTCTATTGGGTATATTACTTCTCTCACCTTCATTTAGTTATTCTTTTGGGTTTTTATCTTATTTCTTCACTGGGAGCATGTTCCTCTGTTACCTCATTTTGCCTAATTTTCTGTTTTTGTTTCTATGTATTTAGTGGATTTGTTATGTTTCCTGACTTTGTAGAAATGGCCTTTTGTGGGAAACATCCTATGTGTTCCAGCATCATGCTCCCCTCTGTCAACAGAGCTATGTGCTCTAGAGTTGCCTCCTATGTGAGCTGTATGAGTCCTTCTTTGTGGCAGACTATGTGAGTGGTCTTGTAGGTATGGCTGGTTCGTGGTCTAGTTGGTTGATATATGCAGAGGTTGTCAGCTACTGGTTGTTGGAGCCAGATCATGGTGTAGCTGACTGTTGAGCCCCTAGAGGTGCCTTGGCTGGTGATGGCCCACTGATGGTGCAGCTGTGTTCTGGGGTGGAGGGTTGTGGGGCCAGCATCCCCATATCTAGTGTTGGTCTGCTATTGGGTAAGCCTGATTTCTGGTGCACCTGGCTGTGGGTTCTGAAGCTTCCCAAAGTTGTTGCTGGCCCACTGTGAGTGGGGCTAAACTCCAAGGTAGCTGACTGAAGTGCTCAAGATTTCTCAGAATTGGTTTTGGTCTATAGATGGATGGGGTGCAGGCCCAGAAGGTCTTAGGGCTGATGTAGTCCTGCTGATGGATTGGCGGAGCCCTGACAAGGCAGGCTGTAGGGTTACAGTGGTTGTGATGGTCGTGTGTGCCCACTAGTTGGTGGGACCAAATCATAGAGTCACTGATGGAGGCCCTGAGGGCCCCTGGTCCGGTGCTTGCACACTGGTGTGTGGGGCTGGTTCCTGGGCTCGCTGGTGGCCAGGGCCTTATCCAGTGGCAGCTATGGGCTCAGGGGGTCTAGTGGAAGCCAAACTTCTAGTGAGTGGAGCTGTGTCCTCTCTTGATTATCTGATTGACCTGAGGCTGCCCGGTATTGGTGCCTACAAGCTGAAGGGCACTGGGGTGGGACTGGTTTCTGGTGGATGGTAAGCTGAAGGGAGGATTCCACAGTGGTACTTGCAGTAGTAGATTGAGTTCCCCCAAATGGCTGCCACCAGTGTCTATGTCTTCAGGGGAGTAAAAGTTCCACTTGAGCCTCCTTCTCCTCTAGAAGACTTTCCAAGATCAACAGATAGGCCTGACCCAGGTAACTTTCAAGTTATTGTTTCTGCCCTGAGTCCTGAAATGTGTGAAATTTTGTGTTCGTCCTATGACAGTGGAATCTCTGTGTCCTAAAGCCTTCTGATTCTCCTGAAAGTGAGCACAGCTGGCCTTCAAAAGCAAATGTTCTGGGGGCTCATTTTCCTGGTGTATGATGCCTGGGCTGGGGAGCCTGGTTTGGGGCATGAATCCGTTGCTCTTTGGTGAAAGTCTCTACAATTATAATTATCTTTCTGCTTGTGGGTCACCCACACAGGGGCATGGTCTGGACTTACTGTGCCTCCACCTATCCTGTCTCATTGTGGTTTCTTCTTTATGTCTTTAGTTGTAGAAGGTATTTTCTATTAGGTTTTAATTTTTCTCATCAGTAGTTGCTCTGTAAGTACTTGCCATTTTGGTGTGCCCATGGGAGCATGTTAGCTCAAGGTCTTTCTAATCCTCCATCTTGGCCTCTTATTTCCGTAATTATTCTATGTAATTCACTACTTAGTGCTACATTTTCTTTCACCAGGTTACACAGGCCTTTGCTCCTGAGTATTTTGCTGCTTCTATTCTTTGTTTTCCAGTGGTAGCAAACCCACTTTGTTTTGTAGGTATGGACTGAATGAAGTCTATAACGTTTATATAGATAGAATGACTGATGCCACTTCAGCACAAACATCTATAGTGATATATTCCAGTCATTTTAATATGTGTTCTAATGAACTCAGAGTCCTGCAGCGGGAGGGGAGGCAGTGGGTCTCACGCACTGACCTCCTCTTTCAGGATGCCTCTGAGAAGGCGAGCCTGAGCAGCAGCAGCAGCAGTGGAGCAGGAAGCCTGAGGAGTGAGCTTCCGGGAGTCACAGGCCTGCCTCCCGGCGGCCCCCAGGCACCGTGTGGGGAGGATGGAGGCCGGGCCTGCGATGGGCGCGCATCCGAGGACAACGTCAGCTTGGAAAGTATTGAGAAAGGTATTTCTAGGAAAAGATTACAACGTGAATACACTCTTGATCCCTTTGTGTTTCAAGGTTCATTTGCCTTTTGTTTTTATTAATGTGCAGATATATATTCAGAGCTTGATGATGAATTGGACATTCCAGATAACCTTAGCAGCTCCAGCTCAAGCCCTTTGAAGGAATCGACATTCAGTAAGCTTTCTTGCCAACTTGTGGATTCGGGCAGGTAGAGGTCAGGAAACTGTACTTGGGAGTCAAGCAGATTTCATCGCCTACATAAATGAATGGTTTGTTCCCAGGTGCAGTGCTAATTAGGACAGGTGTGTCTGTCACTCTGACACAGCCCAAAGTCCGCCTGGCACTGTGGCTTTCCATTGCCTCCTGTCAAACGAACTGTTTAATTCTTTCTTCCAGCAAATACAGATTCTAACTGGGGAGTGGAGATAACTTATTTGGAAACATACTAACTATCCACAGGACTAATGGAAGTGACCTTTTTGAGTCTGTTGATCAGAGGTTAGAAACCTGGAGAAGAAATTAGTCTTGCTGTATACTAAGTTTTGTATAATTTTACTTACATTAATATAAAGGAATATATTTTCCTTAAAACACTAAAGTTAAATAAATATTATAATTATTTAGAATTATGAAAAACACCATGCAGATTCAGTAAATATGTTAATCTTTACTCTTAATTTGAAACAGTAAAAAAAAATAGACTGGGGCATGGGAAAGTAAAGATATATTTAGATACAATTTAAAGAATCTTCTCTATAGAAACACAGGATTCAATTCACTAAACAAATCTGAAATTGAAATAAAATGCCAATTAAAATAGAAAATTGACAGAAAAAATAACTCTTATTTTAATTTATTTTTCATTGAAGGATAATTGCTTTATAGAATTTTGCTGTGTTCTGTCAAACCTCAACATGAACCAGCCATAGGTATACACATAAGTCCTCCCTTTTGAACCTCCCTCCCATCTCCCACCTCATCCCCCACCTCTAGGTTGACACAGAGCCCCTGTTTGAGTTTCCTGACTCTTTTAAAAGAGTAAGTTGATGGAATATTAAATAGCATAGATAGAAATACTCTGAAATAAAGTGTAAATCATCCCTTCTCAATGACTATACTATGAAAATTTTGTAAAAGAAAGTTTAAAATAGTATCTCTAAGGATCAGAGTAGGACTCTAAGGATTTTGCTTCATACTTTGTCTCTTTTCAAAATTAAATGGTCCATCAAAGTGGATTATAGACATTGCACATTTTCTGGGGCAATGTCAAATTCCAGCACTCTGGTCTGTTTCCCATATAAATTCCTGTCCTGCCTGCTAAATAAAATGTCTTGGTTTGTGATTGAGAAAACATGAATATTATGTAGCAAAGATATTTGTGCATTTAAACATATGTAGCATATTCTAGAAGCAGTTAATTACTAACTGAGGTGAATTTTGAGGTGATGGGATATTGTGTATCCACAGTAAGGAGGATGGGGAGGGTCAGTGGGAGGAAGGAAAAGCTGGACCCTTACACTTGCATGTGGTTACTTCTAGCTCTCTTGGCAAGGTATTTAGGATGATGATGATACAGATGCTTTATGTACTTTGTTAGCAATTAATAATGGAGTTTGTTTGTTTAGCACTTTTTCTTTCAGAAAGGACCATTAAACCTGTTAATAAATAGTAATTTGCAATGTTATATTTTAGCTGATAGTATCATAAATGAAGACAGCCTTTATAGTAGGTACAATTGGTTAGGTATTTTTAAACAGGCAAATGAGTGAATAAATAAATGATTTGCAGCAAGAAAATGTGAAGTTATTTTTATTTTCTTGTTCCAGGCACTTTAAAAAGAAGTTTTAGTGCTTCAGGAGGAGAAAGACAATCCCAAACTAGGTATGTAGACATTGAGTTCCTAGAAACATTTTTAGGCTCTGCAGAGCTGTTCTGGTGGCTAAATTGATACCTGATAGCAGAATTTTCCATGGGCATGTGGTACTAGAAACTGTGGGAGCCCACTCTCCCAGAACTGTTTGCATTTCACCAAGGACCATGCTGGGAAGAGCATTAAGCTTGGGCATGGGTTTTAGTCTGGCTTTGCAATCCTCAGCCACTCAGTTAGTCTCCCTGAGCTCAAGGGTGGCCCAGGGTTGTAGGGCTTCATGAGATTATTTGGGGCTGTGGCTCCCTATCCCTTATTTTTTTACATCCCTGGGGTATAGATGCCTATGGCAGATGTAGCAGGTATAGACCATGTCACACCCAAGTCTCAGTCAGCAGGAGGGGGATGGGATGCAGAGACACATCCTTCCTTTTATGGATGTGACCCAGATGTTGTGTTCTTCCCTTCTGCTCACTGATCAGTGAGCAGAGGAGAATCTAGCTACAGGGGAGAATGAGCATGTTTGGGGCATTCCATTTTTAAAAAAGAAATTATTTTGTTATGACTGGCACTTTCTGCAATATTTGTCTCTTGGGCTAAGAACTGAACAACACTCTTTGATATGGCTTTTTTCAAATTCCTGGTAACCTTCATGAGAACAGTTCAGTGACCTTGGGTGAGGCTGGTGGGAGGAGAAGCCTGACTGTGGTGGTTTCAGAGGTTACAGAAGCAGAGACAGAAACTGAAGAAAGTGTTGAGCTGACAGTGAATTGGTGGGAATGTTTGATGGGAAAGGGCCTTCTAGAATGAGGGTGGCTGAAGGGTGAGTAGACTGAGGAGAAGCAGCTGATGAAGAGGGGAAATTGTAGCTGGTTCCCAGTCTCAGCATGGACCTGAGAGAAAGGGCAGCTTTTGTGTGTGTCTGAAGAAAGAGAGGCAAAGATAAATTTAAGCTGGAGGGGCAGAGAAGAGGGATATACTTGGTAGTTTCTGCTTATTAGATGATGTTACAGCTCACTGCAGAGGATCCTTTAGTCAAAAGAGTGTGATCGGCTGGGGAGAGCTGGCATCAAGATGGCAGGGAGCTGAGCAGGGACAGGCAGGGGCTGTCGACAGTGCTGGATCTAGGACGTGCCGGCCAGGTCATGTGTGAGTGGCTGTGCTTTACCAGGCAGGCTTTGTGGGCACAGGAAATAAAAGATGGCTTGGGCTGACTTATGTTCTTTAGAAAGCTTTCAAGGACTCACATAATCATGGAACACACAGAATCAACCTATGAAGGGATAAAAGCCAGGTCAGGCCCTGAGGTCTGTGGAGGAGGCACTCCTGGAAGATTTGCCAAGGCTCTAATGCAGGCCTAAATGAGCCTCCAGCTTGTTTGCTTTGTCTGCCTGTCACCTCTCTAAGGATCCAGTGTCCTGCAGGGGAGTCGGCTTGGCCTGATTCCCTGCTGTGGGAGGGGCTGAGCCCCTTCACTGGCAGCCCCTGCAGGTCCCTCATGGGCCACACTGTTTAGTCAAAGATACAACATCACTGATAAGTTTAACTTTTCCAAGAGAGGGTCAGGAAGGTTAGGGTAAAGTCTATTTATTTCCTAAGTCTTTTCTGGTGTTTCTAGTAACACGGTTCCATCACTTCTTGTCAAATTGATGGGGAAACAGTGGAAACAGTGACAGACTTTATTTTCTTGGGCTCCAAAATCACTGCAGATGGTGACCACAGCCATGAAATTAAAAGACACTTGCTCCTTGGAAGAAAAGTTATGACCAACCTAGACAGCATATTAAAAAGCCGAGATACTACTTTGCCAAGAAAGGTCCATCTAGTCAAAGCTACATTTTTCTCAGTAGTCATGTATGGATGTGAGAGTTGGACCATAAAGAAAGCTGAGAGCTGAAGAATTGATGCTTTTGAGCTGTGGTATTGGAGAAGACTCTTGAGAGTCCCTTGGACTTCAAGGAGATCCAACCAGTCCATCCTAAAGGAAATCAGTCCTGAATATTCATTGGAAAGATCGATGCTGAAATTGAAACTGAAGCTCTGATACTTTGACCACCTGATGTGAAGAACTGACTCACTGGAAAAGACCCTGATGCTGGGCAAGATTGAAGGCAGGAGGNAGGGAGGTGGGAGGGGGGACCGGGATGGGGAATACATGTAAATCCATGGCTAATTCATTTCAATGTATGACAAAAACCACTGCAATGTTGTAAAGTAATTAGCCTCCAACTAATAAAAATAAATGGAAAAAAATATATATATAAAAAAAACAAAAACAAAAAATAAAGATCCTGTTGCTTAGGCATAAGATTTTTCCATGTTGCCAAGGCAACAGAATACAGTTGGCAGGCTAGTTTCAGACACTGAATGTTTGCAGTATCAGAGATACCTGTGGTTCACATCCTTTTTAATGAATCAATGTATGCATAATTGTTTTCAAGGCTGTGTGCCTGATTCTAGTCTTTGTGTATAGAGATGATTGGAAATGTTTGTGACCATCCAGTATCATACATGTGACTGGAAAGAACTTGTGTGATCTCAGGACCTAGGAATCTTGCCTCCCTATAGCAAGATTATAGATTATTTTGATTTGAAGCTATAGAGAATAGAGCTCCCACTACTTTTTCATAATCCAGTTTCTAATAATCCAGATCTAGTTTCACTTAAATTGATTAAATACTTTTGATCACTGCTTGCTGCTGTTAACCTGGCCTAGAAGCTGATGTCACAATCAAGCAGTCTTAGAAAAACTATTTGCTGTCAGTTGTTGTTGTTGCTCAGTTGCTCAGCTGTGTCCCACTCTTTGCAATCACATGGTCTGCAGCACTCCAGGCTTTCCTGTCCTTCACTATCTCCCAGAGTTTGCTTAAACTCATGTCCATTGAGTTGATGATGCCATCCAACCATCTCATCCTCTGTCACCACTTTCTCTCCTGCCCTCAAGTTTTCCCAGCATCAGGGTGTTTTCCAATGAGTCACCTCTTTGCATCAGGTGGCCAAATGACTGGAGCTTCAACTTCAGCATCAATCCTTACAATGAATATTGAATTCCTTTAGGATTGACAAGTTTGATCTCCTTGCTGTCCAAGGGACTCTCAAGAGTTTTCCAGAACCACAATTCAAAAGTGTCAATTCTTAGCATTCTTTATGGTGCAACTCTCACATTCGTACATGACAACTGAAAAAAACCATAGCTTTGACTATCCGGACCTTTACTGGAAAAGTGATATGTCAGCTTTTTAATAGTCTATCTAGGTTTGTCATACCTTTTCTTCTAAGGAGTAAGCATATTAATCTCATGGCTACAGTCACCATCTGCAGTGATTTTTGAGCCCAAGAAAATAAAATCTGTCACTGTTTCCATTGTTTCCCCATCTATTTGCTGTGAAGTGATGAGACTGGATGCCATGATCTTCGTTTTTTCACTGTTGAGCTTTAAGCCAGCTCTTTCACTTTCTTCTTTCACCTTCTGCCACTGGAGTGGTGTCATCTGCATATTTGAGGTTATTGATGTTTCTCACAGCAATGTTGATTACAGCTGTGGCTCATGAAGCCTGGCATTTGGCATGGTATACTCTTTATTTAGGGCTTCCCAGGTGGCTCAGTGGGTAAAGAATCTGCCTGCAATGAAGGAGACACAGGCAGAAATGAGTTTGATACCTGGGGTCGGGAAGATCCCCTGGAGGAAGGCTTTGCAACCCACTCCAGTATTCCTGCCTGCAGAATCCCATGGACAGAGTAGCCTGGTGAGCTGCATTTCATAGAGTAGCAAAGAGTTGAACACAACTGAACTGACTGAACATGCACACTCGCACACACTCTGTATATAAATTAAATAAGCAGGATGACAATATACAGCCAGCCTTGACAGGCTTCTTTCTCAGCTTGGAACCAGTCCATTTTCCCATGTCCACTGCTCACTGTTGCTTCCTGACCTGCATACAGGTTTCTCAGGAGGCAGGTAAGGTGGTCTGGTATTCACATCTCTTAAAGAATTTTCCACAGTTTGCTGTGATTCACACAGTCAAAGGCTTTAGCGTAGTCAATGAAACAGAAGTAGATTTTTTTTTTTCTGGAATTCTCTTGCTTTTTATGTGTTCCAACAAATGTTGGCAATTTGTTGTCAGTAAAATCATTCTATCCTTTTCTATGACAATTCTAAAATTTCCTGGCTTATTGCTTATTAGTTCCTAGCTACGATTGGAGTACAAGTGGAGAGCCACAGTAGCACCATGCCACCTTCCTGCAGTGATACCAACTCCATTAACACTACAGGTGAACAAAAAGCCCTAAATGAGCAGGAGAAAGCATCCATGCATAATGTCACTTATTCACACAGGGTATGTTTATGATGTCACTGCCTGAAAGACACTTTCAAGATGTCAAATGCTAGTGAGCTTAGATGGTGAGGTTGCATCATCTTAATGTTGTAAGCTAGGCTTCTAGTTTCATCATGAGGTCAAATATTTCTTCTATCAGCATTAAATTGTACTGACTACTTTGCATAGTTGAATTAAATGATGTGATGCACTTGCAATGCATCTGAAAATATTTCCTCAGTTCAGAGACATATTTAAAAGAATTTGATGAGGTATAAAATTCTGGACTCCATCGCCTTCATGACCAGCATGCCTCTGACAAAATAATCATCTAAATAATTTACCTCACACTTGCATTTATCAATGAAAACTTGATTTAAAAAATTACAAGGCTAATACCTCCAGTTGCCACCTTACCTGTATTGGTCAGGTAAAGTGTGAGTTGTTGGCTATTACTCATATTCAGTGCTTCAGTTTCTGTTTTCGCTTATGAATTCTGCATGAGGAATTTGGTTTATGGATACACACCAGATCTGAAGAGAGTTGAAAAGACCTTTCAGGATTTTTAAAAACCTTCCATTTCTCTGGAATTGTTTTATCGATCTGAAATGTTATTGATCAATTCCCATTTCAAAACTTTCAGAAGACACAAACTTCATTATGATAAACCTTTTCACCACAAAACATTTCTAGAA